TTCCAGGACTGCTTTTTACACATAAATTATTGTTCTTTAATCTGTATATTTTTTAATGTGTTCAAAAATTTAATGATATATATATCTGTCAGTATAAAGTATTGTGTCTCATTATTTCAAGTTACCTAATTTGCATTGTACAAATCTCCCCTTACAAATGATTTGAATAATGAGGTTAACACTCAACAAAATCAGTTCAGTCTGATTTGTATTTAAGAAATAAACCATTCATCAAAAAATAAATAGGTCACTTACTTTAAAACAAAATAAAAACATGTCTTCCTGGAGACTATCAAAATCTATTATATTCCTTATTACTAGGCCATCAAAAAGAAAGAAATCTTACTATTTGCAAAGACATGGGTGGAACTATTATACTAAACAAAATAAGTCAGAGAAAGACAAATACTATCTGATTTCACTCACATGTGGAATTTAAGAGACAAAACAAATGAACGTAGGGGAAGGGGAAGAAAAATAAGATAAAAACAGAGTGGGAGGCAAACCATAAGAGACTCTTAAGAGAACAAATTGAGGTTTCCTGGAGGAGAGGTGGGTGAAGGGGTGGGGTAATTGGATGATGGGCATTAAGGAGGGCACTGGATGTAATGAGCACTGGGTGTTCTATGCAACTGATGAGTCACTGAATTCTACCCCTGAAACTAATAGTACACTATATGTTAACTAAATTGAAAAAAAAAAAATCTATTACATTCCTAAAGCATACTGTACTCTGAATTCCCTTCTCTGAATTCAGTGCTTTTGAAAGGTGAAATTAAGGTCTGCCAACAATATTCCACTTGGAAATTCCTGTTACATTCACGACTTCAAAGGATCTACCCTTATGCAAGAAAATACAAAAATGAAGTTCAAAAGCTATGGATACATCATCAAAACTCTTTTTTCTCCCACTAAACAGTCTAGTAATCTGCAGATTATCTATAACCACTCTCCGACCAAAATCTGAAGATTTCTTTCATTTATGTCCTTTTTCCCTGTGGCCATGTCACATTAAAAATTAGAATGACTAGCAGAAAAACCATACCTAAGTAATTGTGAAGTTAGAATTGTTAAAAATTACTAAAATTTGTAAATTGTATTTACCCTAAAGATACAAATGTAGTGATCCAAAGGGGCATGTGCACCTGAATGTTTATAGCAGCAATGTCCACAATAGCCAAACTATGAAAAGAACCTAGATGTCCATCAACAGATGAATGGATCAAGAAGAGGTGGTATATATATACAATGGAATACTATGCAGCCATCATAAGAAATGAAATCTTGCCATTTGTGATGATGTGGATGGAACTAGAGGGTTTTATGCTTAGCAAAATAAGTCAATCAGAGAAAAACAATTATATGATCTCCCTGATATGAGGAAGTGGAGATGCAATGTGGGGGGTTTTGGGGGTAGGAAAAGAATAAATGAAACAAGATGGAATCGGGGAGGGAGACAAACCATAAGAGACTCTTAATCTCACAAAAAAAACTGAGGGTTGCCAGGGGGGAGGGGGGTAGGGAGAGGGTGGTGGGGTTATGGACATTGTGGAGGAGTATGTGCTATGGTGAGTGCTGTGAAGTGTGTAAACCTGATGATTCACAGACCTGTACCCCTGGGGCTAATAATACATTATATGTTAATAAAAAAATTTTTTAAATAAAAATATTGAGATTTTGGAGGATTATTTACTTTCACAAATTTCTAATCCTAGTCCTAGCCACACTGCCTATTCCTGAAGTGACATTATTTCAATTCGAAAAAATAATTCATTATTTAGTCTTTCACTTGAGGTCAGGAAAATTATTTTAGTTTTTATAATGGTCCATGTTTTAGCAGAAAAAGTATCCAATGTACATGCATATTCTTTGCCTACAAAATATTCTGCTATTAGCAAAACAGTTTTTGGTACTTCAATTGAAATGTAGATACATAAAATTAAAAGACTCCTCCTGCAGTAAATAATTCCAAATACTTTTAAAAACCTTTCATTTAAAAAGCACTCACCATGAGAAATTTCTTCCTTAGATAAATATATTCAATATAACTTCCAGTTCTTATTTCTATGCATAAGTCAAATGCCTTTCCTTAAAAAAAGACATAAAATTATGTCATCTAGTCATTGAACAAATAATTATTTTGTACCTACTGTGTACTAAAACCATTTGTGAACAAAACAAAACAGTGCCTACCCTTTTAGAGCTTGCTCTTTAATAAAACATTGTTCAATTACTTCAAGATAATTTTTCTTAGAACACAGTTTTCAGAATGTAGCACGCTTTTTAGACTCCTTTTAATGAATTTTAGTTGTTCAATATCACTATTAGAACAACTAAATAAAAGGAAAGTATGATTAAATCTCTATCTTTAATCACATTATGTTCCATCATTTTATTATTTATAAAGACACAATATGTTCTAAGATACGACTTTACATTGTATACTTTCATACTCAGATATGCATACATTTAACACAGAATACCCAATCAGTCCTTTCTTCCTCTAAATGGTACTGATTCATCCAGAATAATGTCTCTGGAAAGAAACACTCACGTACTTGTTATACCTACTAGAACTGACAGCAAAATAAATCACTTTGCTTCTCTGAGTTTATGTTAATACCTACAAAGTAAAACAATTTCTACTTTACCTACCTTACAGAGTTGTAAGGAGCCAATTAAAGTTAAAGAATAATTTTAATAATAAACTATGGAGCATAATATAAACTATAGTTTGCTAAGTATAACAGTTAGATAGCTATTGTTGCTATTATTATTCTTACTTCTTTAGGAGTTCCACTTACCCCTGACATTATTTTATATATTGCAATTGTACCTTCAAATTTTTAAAACAGGATTGAATAAAAAAAATTGAAGTCACCTAAGCTAACCAATGCAGTTATTATCTGTGTGGCCTCCTGTGTCTCACTTTACATTCCTATCAACATATAGAGATCATAAATATGTTCATATGAATATGCATGTCTTCATAGAATGTTTTATTTTAATAAGATTATGTGGGAGAAGATTACATTAAATATTTTAAAAAACAAACCAAACTGTGGAAAGTACCAAGATGCCATTCAACAGAAGAATGGATAAAGAAGATATGGTCCATATATACAATGGAGTATTATGTCTCCATCAGAAAGGATGAATACCCAACTTTTGTATCAACATGGATGGGACTGGAAGAGATTATGCTGAGTGAAATAAGTCAAGCACAGAGAGTCAATTATCATATGGTTTCACTTACTTGTTGAGCATAAGGAATAACACGGAGGACACAGGGAGATGGAGAGAAGTGAGTTGGGGAAATTGGAGAGGGAGACAAAACATTAGAGACTGTGGACTCTGAGAAACAAACTGAGGGTTTGGGAGGGGAGGGGGGTGGGGGGTTTCGTGAGCCTGGTTGTGGATATTATGGAGGGCACGTATTGCATGGAGCACTGGGTGTGGTAGGTAAACAATGAATTTTGGAACACTGAAAAAAGAAAAAAAAACATATAAACTGGCCTAAATGAAAATCTCCATAGTTCTTCTCTTCCTCATTTTTCTTTATTATTAGTATTAAATAATAGCTGCTATCAAGTCAGATGTTACCCTAAGCTGTATTTATGCCTTTAACTTCTTGAACTCAAGTTCAGTATTTACATAAATCCTAATATTTTCATTTGATTATTTTAGTCATCACTCATTTTGAAATCCCAGTTCCATCCTCAGATATTTCTGTTATCTCTCCAAGCTTTGATCATCCATATTTTTAATGAGACTGCATTCCAAATCTTCAACCAAGTCATTGGTAGAACTCTAAAATAGAATGTCAGCTTTAAGTGAGCCTTTCACATATTCAAAATCCCTTTATTCAGATTAATACTGTCTTACCAATTGTAGGGTAAGCCCTTATTCCCTTCTTCAAAAAATATTTTTTTAAAAAAAACTACAAGTATGACACAAGTCCAAATGACCAAATAATAATAGTAACTGGTGTGTACATATCCTATCCTGGTGTTCCTCTTTAAGAGACATGTCTCAGAAATATTTGCCTAAATAAGTGCTCTCCTGATGAAAGAGTCATGATTTTTACATGACAAAGGTATAGGACATGGGCACAGAACAAAGGGAGACTAAGAACATAGAGAATCAACTTTCTTTAAAAGAAATTGCACATTAAGATTCTAGAGGAAGAGTTGATGATTAGTGCAGGTCATAGCCCCCTGCACAGGAAACCAGTTTAGACAGGGGACAAAGTTGTTTCTAAAAGTACAGACGAGTCGAAAAGTTATGATGAACTTTCTGTGGTCAGAGGCCTGGTGTAGGCCTCCACTTTCAAGTTCAGTGAAAAACTTCATCCTCAGTTCCTACAGAATTCAGTGTCCTTACTAGCACTGATGATGCTGTATTAAAACTATCTGTATCTGTATGTCTCTGTAGAATACATAAATGAATTAGCACCCAAATAATTAAAGGAGGATATTTTTGAAGAGAGGCCAAAAGGAAAATATTCTGCATTTTCAGGACAAAATTATGTGGTAGAAGCTCCTTTGGTTTTTGATTAAGTAGTAATGGCAAGTACAGTTGTGTTTTTCAGAAAATTTAGAGAGAACCTAAGCCCATAGCTGGTCAGTTTGTGGTTAGAAGAGGAAGGACAATCAAGAGAATGTGAAACTTTAAGCTGAATAAATCTAAGTGACTATGAAAGTGCATATTTGTGTCTATTTTTTATACCGTAAAAGATCATAAGCCCGGTAATTTCTTATGAATTCTAATTTTGTAAAAGGATGAAAAACACTTACCTGGATATGATTCAGGAAGGAACACTGTAGAACAGGGAGAAGAAACCCTTTCACTGTGGTGTCATGGAATAGCTATGAGTCTTCTCCTTCGCTATGACCTCAACTTCTTCACTCTACCTTCCATTTCTGATTAAGTGGATATCCACCCAGGCAGCTGAGGGCATAGATGAAATCATCCCATTCCCATACCATCAACTGGCTTTGTGGACGTTGTGCCCAAGATGGCTGAGAATTTTAGGCAGTTCTGCACTGGAGAATTCAGAAAAGATGGGGTTCCGATAGGCTACAAAGGGAGCACCTTCCACAGGGTCATAAAGGATTTCATGATTCAGGGTGGGGATTTTGTTAATGGAGATGGTACTGGAGTTGCCAGTATTTACCGGGAGCCATTTGCAGATGAAAATTTTAAACTTAGACACTCAGCTCCAGGACTGCTTTCCATGGCAAACAGTGGTCCCAGTACAAATGACTGCCAGTTCTTCATCACCTGCTCTAAATGTGATTGGCTGGATGGGAAACATGTAGTGTTTGGAAAAATCATTGATGGACTTCTAGTGATGCGAAAGATCGAGAAAGTTCCCACAGGCCCCAACAATAAGCCCAAGCTGCCTGTGGTTATCTCACAGTGTGGGGAGATGTAGTCCAGAGCAAGACTGATCAGACCTTCACCTCTCTGCCATTGTGGGCCTTCCTTGCTCTGGGTGATGCTCTTGAGTAAGATAATCCGGATTGGCCCCTGTGTTTGCTTCCCTGCCTGCTGCGGCCCTTTTTGATCAAGACCTTGGAAGTGTCACAGATTCAGAACCCAAGTTTTCTGTTTAAGTTTTCAATTGTAAATTAAGTTTTGTTTTGTTTTGGTAAAAAAAAAAAAAAAAAAAAAAGAGTTCAGAGGTGGTGGGGCCTGGCAATTTTAGGATGATTTGAGTTCAAGGCATCCATATAATTACCAAAATAGAGAAGACTATTACTAAACTCTTATAATTTTATTTTTTATGGTTTTATTTAATATGACAAAATATGCACTATTTAAAGGAATTTGATAGAAAATGTTGCTGTATTTTATACTGCTCACATCTACACATATCTATAAGATATAATACTCTGTCTCTTATTAATACAAAACACTTGAAGTCCTGTTTGTTGACTTATATTATCTCCAGGTTCTTAGAATCCTAATAAACAAAAAAGTGTAACCTTATATCTAAACTTTAATGTTTGAAAGAACTAAAAGTATGCTCCATTATTAAAGAGTTGTAAAATTGTAAGATCAAATGCAGAAATAGAATTCAAGAGAAATGTCAAACCGTTTTTTATGTTTCTTCCTCAATAGACAATGCAAGATACATTCATCAAAGACATTAGGATATATATTTTTTCTTCCTACCTTTTTTCTTTCCCTTCTTATTCCTCTGCTCTCCCCACTTAGGTGTCCCCCAATCTCTACTCAGCCTCTGATTCAGGTTCTTGAAAATTATGTTACTTTCTGTTTTTCATTCCTTACAGTTGCAATGTGGCATTGGCCTTCAAATCGAGCCATTAGAAGAAAGAGATGAAGGAAGCATCCTTCCCAGGCATGTTTCTTCCTCCTGAAGAAACATTTATGGGACAAATAAAGCTGTTGACTGCCACACTGAACCACTTCTTATAACTGAATCCTTTGCCATTTTACTGATAGAGAACTACCCTCTTTTCCTTTCCTTCCTAAAGGTTGCCATGTACTGGAACTTTACTCTGCTTACAGTATTTTATTAATTTCTTCATCCTTTTCAAAAACTAAATTTCTGTTATGCCAGGAATCAAGCAGGGGAATGGAGAGGTGGGAACAAAACCCTCCACAAATATTAGACTCACATAAAACTAATGACCATTATTTCTATGTCAATATGATTCATGAATTCTTGATTTAATTCTTAATCACATTCCTCAGTGCAATGTAAAAATATGTATATTTTCCAGACAGAAACAAAGAGATAGAATAAGTTATATAGCTGTGCTTTCAACTGACAATTAACTGATAAATAAAGTCAATAAATCCAAGTCCAATTCTAACCAAAATAATGTATTTTCTCCCATTAGCAAACGAATGATAATGTCCCAATGATAATCAACTGTGATAAAGAGGGGAATCTTTTTTTCTCTGTCACAGTACTACAAGGCCATTTTATGCCCTATTTGATGGCCTGTTACGTCCCAAATTATACCTACCTCTTGAAAGAGCCAGATGTTGGGGAAGAAGTCTACTTAGATGGGATCTTTTTAGGCTGACTAATCCATTGAGCATTATCAGTAGATTTTCATTTGATATTTGGTAAAAAATATTTTCCAAATATATTATCCCCGCTTTCCTGCCCTCAGAATATATATCCAATGAGAAGTGTCCTATTTTTTTTTTATTACTATGTACCGAATTACCACACACTTAACAACTTAAAATAACACCCATTTATTATCTCACTGTTTCTGTAGGTCAAAGGTCTGAATTCTGCTCAGCTAGGTACTCTGCCCAAGATGTGACAAAAGGGAACAAACAAGAACCAGCCAGGACAATGGCCAGATCTGAGCCTTGGAATCCTCTTCCAAGTTCATCTGTTCATTAGCAAAAGTCATCTGTTTTCAGCTAAAACACCCATGGTGACTTGCTTCTTCAAAGCCAATAGCAGACAGCATTTCTGACTTCAAGATTCTTTCTTAAAGTTCACCCAGAATAATCTCCCTTCTGATTGAGTAAAAGCTAATGGATTAGAGGAATTATAATCACATCTGCAAAAATCCCTTCACTTTTGCCATAAAATTTAATTATTTCACAGGGGAAACATCATCATATTCACAGGTTCCATTCACCATCAAAGAGAAGGGATTATATAGGGTATACCCTTTGTGGGGTAGGAATCTTAGGGGACATTCAAGAATCCTGCCTACCAAATGGAGGAAAGTTAAATTACTTTAATAATTCAATAGCAGAATTTTAGAATAATCATTTACTTTTTAAGTATACCATACACAAAGTCCTTGACTTATGATGGTTCAACTTACAGTTTTTTCATCTTTACAGTAATGCAAAAGTGATATGCACTCAGTAAAAACCATACTTCAGATTTTAAATTTTAATCTTGTCTTGGGCTAACAATGTGCAGTAGATACTGCATTACCATATATATAGATACCACATCTTCTTTATCCATTCATCTGTTCATGGACACATGGGCTCTTTCCATAGTTTGGCTATTGTGGACATTGCTGCTATGAACATTGGGGTACCATTCTGTGCCCATACAAATGTTCTGTTTTTCACCTTCAGTTGAGTATTAGAGAAATTACATGAGATATTCAACACTCTGTTATCAGGTAGACATTGGTTTAGGTGATTTTGCCCAACCTAAGCTAAAGTAAATGCTCTGAGCACATTTAAGAGAGGCTAGGCTAAGCTATGATATTCACTAAGTTAGGCATTTAAATGCATTTTTATTTATGATATTTTCAACTTATGATGGGTTTATTGAGACATAACCTTGTGGTAAGTTGAGGAAGATATGTGTCTCCTTATTCTAAAGCTGTTACGAGTGACTTTTAATTTTACACCTATTTATTCCATACTTTAATTTCAACAAAATCTCTTTTTCCTACTTTCCTCCATCACTCTCCCCAGTCAACCAAATCCTTAGTGTCACTTATTTTCTCTCACTATGATCTTGAGCTGCTGAGAGATCTCCTAAGAAGGCAGAACACTGGTGTTTTCACAATCTGGCACCATGCCTCTACCTCATTAGTGAGTGCAGTTATGCATATTAAAGAAATAAGTCATTCTAAGGACTACTCTATGTCAGAGTACCTTCATTTAAATGAAATCAGAACATTAATTTGGGATTCCTGAAAGAAAAAAAAAAAGCTTTATTTCAATTAGATTTCTTCTTCACACCAACCTGCAAACATAATAAAAAATTGGGACGGCTGGCACTGAGGTTATATGGGCCAAGTCTTGTCCACTTTTTCTTTTACACATTGCCTTGAATTATTCCTAAATCCTACTCCATAGCTCCACTGACTGCAAGTATCAAATAGTCCACCTAACCTACCCACTCTTAACATCACATCTGGAAAATCTACAATGTGAACTTCCTGAGGGGTGAAACCACATTGCCCTGGCGGGTTGGTTTTTTTGTTGTTGTTTTGTTTTTCATATTCACAGATTCAATGCAACACAGAGAGTAAAGAGCTTGAAATACATTCAAGAAATAGAACTGAGGGATTCTACTCTTCGACCTGGCATTCAAGGTTGTCCATACATAAGCTCACAGATAAATTCCACATATCAATGAGATCGTAGGATAATTGTCTTTCTCTGATTGACTTATTTAGCTTAGCATAATACCTTCTAGTTCCATCCATGTTGTTGCAAATGGCAAGAATTCATTTTTGGGTTTTTTTGGTGGCTGAGTAGTATTCCATTGTGTGTATGTGTGTGTGTAGAGACAGAGAGAGAGAGATACATCTTCTTTACCCATCGTCTGTTTGTCCCAGGACACCTGGGCTCTTTCCATAGTTCTGTTATTGTGGACATTGTTGCTATAAACATTGGGATACAGGTGCCCCCTTCAGATCACTACATTTGTATCTTTGGGTTAAATACCCTGTAGTGCAGTTCCTGGGTCATAGGGTAGCTCTATTTTCAACTGTTTGAGGAACCTCCATACTGTTTCCAGAGTGGCTGCACCAGTTTATATTCCCACCAACAGTGTAGGAGGGTTCCCCTTTCTCTGCATACTTACCAACATCTGTCATTTCCTGACTTATTAATTTTAGCCATTCTGACTGGTGTGTGGTGGTATCTCATTTTGATTTTGATTTTGATTTCCCTGATGCTAAAAGATGTGGAGCAATTTTTCATGGGTCTGTTGGCCATTTGGATGTCTTCTTTGGAGAAATGTCTGTTCATGTCTTATGCTCATTTCTTGATTGATTATTTGTTCTTTGGGTGTTGAGTTTGATAAGTTCTTTATAGATTTTGGATACTAGCCCTTTATCTGCTATGTCATTTGCAAATATCTTCTCCCATTCAGTCAGTTATCTTTTGGTTTTGCCAACTGTTTCTTATGCTATGTAAGAGCTTTTTATCTTGAAGTTCCAATAGTTCATTTTTGCCTTTGTTTCCCATATTATCTCACTGATATTTGGAATTTAAGAAATAAAACACAGGATCATAGAGGAAGAGAGGAAAAAGTAAAATAAGATGAAACCAGAGAGGGAGACGAACCATAAGAGACTCTTAATCATAGGAAACAAACTGAGGGTTGCTGGAGGAGAAGGAGGTAGAAAGATGGGGTAACTGGGTGATGGACATTAAGGAGGGCATGTGATATAATGAGCACTGGGTATTATATAAGACAGATGAATCACAGACCTGTACCTCTGAAACCAGTAATACATTTTATGTCAATTAAAAAAAAAAAACTCACACATATTTTCCAAAACTTTTTAGCTCCTATTCTTCTCCAATTCCTCTTTGCTATGCCCTTTTTCCCTACAGGGTGTCACTCAGTGTTTGCCTTATATCATCCCTATAGTGTCCTCCTCATCGCAGTGTTACTTTGCAGAATCTTTGGTGGTTCAACTTACTCCCTATTCTGTCAGTTGAGAACAACACTCCCACCATTCAATATTCATATTACTCATTCTATACCTCAGTTGTGGTCCTTTTATATTTTACAGGCTTTTGCAGTTATTTATATTGACATTTTAATTCTTCAACAGATTTTAAGGTTCTTGGGAGAGATATTTTTTATCTCCCACAAAATTTGACACCCTCCGCAGACACTAAGTAAATAAATAATTCTTTAAAGAATCAAAAAATTCTTATAAGCATTATAAAAAT